GGACGCTGCGCTCAGAGAGAGAGAGACGATGGTCTTTGAGGATGATCATGATGTTGGCAGTCCTGATAGTGCTGGTGGTGACTGCTTGTGTTCATAATGAGATGCTGCTGGGATGGTGCTGGTGTCATTGCAGGTGGTGGTGATGCTGGGACTGCCGAACTTGCCGAGGTCCCGGCCCGCGGGACTTGCTTTGCTCCGAGCGCTGGCTCAGGAGGGAGGCCCGCAACGTGGGGCAAGTGGACTCAAGCGTTTCGGTTTCGGATATGGAGATTAGGGTTGAGGTGGAGCATGTGGCTTCCCTGCATGTCTCAACCTCGATACGAAAAGACAGACAAGCCGTTGATCGTGACACTATGGCACAGTGCAGATGCAGATTGACTCAAACTTCCATGCACAACCCTTTTATTCAGCACCTGTGCTTTTCCTTCGCATGCTTGGCCAGGTTTGCGTCGATGGCCACGAGGGTCTTCAGGTAGAGACTGCGGATACCTCCATGAAGCTGCTGATGGTAGACAAGGCATGGTGGTTTTTATTGTCCACATTTGTGGTCAAGCCCTGCGCAGTATTCGCTGCATGGTCGTGTGCTCCTGCAAAAGTGGTTGATGCATCTGAAACGTCTCAGACGAAGCTCGTCAAAGCATGTCTTTTGCATTCCGTGGCATAAAAATGCAGGTAGTACCGGGTTCCGCGGTGGACGAGTGGAATGCCAAGCAGGACTCACGAAGCTGAGTGGAAGCCGGCACAGCCACAGTTGGCGGCCGCCCTGAAAATTCCTACTAGTCCAAGAAAGGTTTGTTCTGTCTCGATGTCGTCGATACTTCACTCTTTGCCCATCGTCGACTGGATTTTTATTCAACTATGCAAAGTTGCGTAGCTGAGGAGTGGCTGCCACCTGCTGCATGACCAACAGCCACACAAAGACACGCTGAACTTTCCACCGTGCAATGCTGCCGCAAGTTGACACCATGGAGCGTCTGAGCGCGTTTTCGCGCTTGCCGAGCGTTCATGAAACATAGAAAACAGTTATCCTTGCTGCGGCTCGGTCTTTACGATCCTGTCAGACCTTGACTGGTTGCATGTCGCTGTGCTGTTCACGGTTGACTTTCTTTTGGCTGTCCCGTACCCAGGCAGACGTTACGCACGAACAGCTAACTTGCCCGCCAAGGCCCGCCAAGCTCGCAAGCGTGCAGAAGCAAATACCCCCCATGGTAACCGGTATGATACCCCTTGTAATAATATCCCTTGCAGTAGCCCTTATCGCACCCGTTATGATACTCCTTCTAACAGCCCTGGTAGTATCTCCTATAGTAAGTGCTTATGCTTTCACTTAATGCCCCTTTATACTGTAGTACTTCTTATGGTATAAAGCTCCTATTAGTCACCCTGACAGGACCACCTGTCATTATATATACACCCTCATAGTAACCCCCTGTAGTAACCCTGAGAGTACCAGGAGCCTTTTGAACTGCATGGCTTCGAGATGAGCTACGCTCTGCAGCCTGGGGATGTCTGGGTCTCAGCGGCTATGGCTGTGCGAAACATGGGAGAAGGGTTCTAGTCTTGCTGTACGATTCTGCGATCAGAAGGGTTTACGTTCTCCTGAAAGGGAGAGGCTCAGATTGAAAGCAGCTGGATTTTGTCGTACCTGTTCAGTCTGTTCGGACGGCCTTCGTCCAAGCACTTCTCGCACATCAGTTTCTGCAGCACTACTTCGGCAGATCGTTGTTCGAAGCTCCTGAGGTGAGTCACTGAGTCGGCATACAGAACCTCGAGAGGCAAAACCCCCGCAGATACAGGTCTGGCCCCAGGCCTCTGTAGTTCCCGTGTTCACGATCACCGGTACCAGTTCATGTCTTGTTGTCCTCTCCAAAACCACCCCCTATTCTGCCCTTGTTCCGTAGTCCAAGTGCCCTCGGTGGATCTGAGGATGAGAGGGTGGTTGAGGCAGCACCGGTTTCCCCAAGGTTCAAGAACGAATCCAGCTTGGCACTCTCAAAACACCTCCCGAGCCCCCTAAACAGCCAAACCTCGGCTTTAATCCTAAACCCTAAACCCCTAAACCCTAAACCCTAAAGCCCCACACTCGACCCTAAACCCTTAAACCCTAAAGCCTCTATCAGCCTTCCCACCCTCAGGTCATCAAGAGGGTGAACGGCTTCCAGGGAGCTCAGGTTCGCCGGGGGAGGGGTGGTTGAGGGGAGTAGGAGTGGTTGAGGCTTGAGGGTTAAGGTTTGAGGGGGGGTTTTGAGGGTTTCAAGGTCATGGGTTTTGGAGGGTTGGGGCTGGTACCTTAGGCTTCCATGTCCGAAGCAAAAACGGGATAGACCTTCAGTCTTGTCTTTGTTTTGGGTAGGGGGTTCCGGAATTGTTCATATCCGGTGCCTTCCCGTGGGGTATTGTGTTGGGCCGTGTATCAGTTTTCACTACTAGCATCAGTACCATTGCCAGTACGACCTTTAAAGTGTACTATCTTGGTGCTGGTGTTCTTGCTCGCGGGTACAAGTCTCGGAATTTGCAGCAGCATCTTAATGACTCGTTCTGTTGGGCAGACTTGAACTAACTTGGACATCCCCCCTACTTGTAACCCGGAAGAACTTTGAGCCGTTTCGGAATGTTCAGGTCATGCTGTATGAGTTGCGGCGAAAGCCGAAGAAGTGGCCTCCTCGGGACGAAGAAGTCGGGAAAGCCTCCCCGTGTGTGAGTTTCATGCTGCGCTGGTGTTCAGATCGGTGAAAGCTGGGACGCGGTTTGTCCGAAGAGTCTGCGAGATGGTCAGAGCTCAGCAGTTGAAGAGTTGATGTCCTGCGCAGGTGCTTTGGGAGTCGACCTTAAACCTGAAGCCCTAGCCCTGACCCTAAGCCCGAAGCCCTAAATGAGCAGTGAACCCAAACTTTTCGCCCTAAGGCCTAAAAAGCTCCTAGTAACTAGTAGTAATTAGAGTAAGTAACCTTTCACGTTTTTAGGGCTCTATAATCCCTACATAATCCCAATTTGCCCCCAAAGGTTAACGTTCAATTCCCCAAACCCTAAACCGTTGGAGCGAAATCCGAAAGGTTGATAATGACCGTCGACCGCCACTGCGGTGGCAACACGGTGTTCGAGCACACGCCTGAGGCCCATTGCCGTGATTGAGGCTCCTGGAGTCTAGGAGGGGTTTAGGGGGTTTAGGGGGTTTAGGGGGTTTAGGGGGTTTAGGGTTTAGGGGTTTAGGGGTTTAGGGTTTATGGGTTTAAGATTGAGGGGTGTCGGGTTTGGGGGTATTGAGGGGTGTCGGGTTTGGGGGTGTGGGGTTTAGGGGTTTAGGTTTAAGGTGTTGGGTTTAGGGTTTTACGGGTTTTACGGGTTTAGGATTGAGGGGTGTCGGGTTTGGAGTTTGGGGGTTTGGAGTTTGGGGGTTTGGGGGTTTAGGGTTCAAGGTGTTGGGTTTAGGGTTTTGCAGGTTTCAGGGTTGAGGGGGTAGGGTTTGGGGGTTTCGTATTTAGGGTCTTGGATTTTGGGTTAGGGTTCAGGGTTTAGGGAGGGGCCTTGGGGTCTGAATAATTCGTAGTCATCTATCCCCTAGAGTGCCTTCACCACTTCGGTATAATCTACCCTCCCTGAACCCCAAGCCCAAACCCTAAACTTCCCTAAACCCCAAACCCTAAACCCTAAACCCTATTCTTTTTTGTCCGGTACCTACACTACCTGTCAGCAGGCCGATCGGCTCAAAAACAACAGCAAACTGGATGCTTGGAAGGTTCCTCTAGCGAACCCTTACCCTGCGTATGTCCTCATCAACGTCAATAAAACCTAAACCCTAAATGAGGAAATACACCGTAAGCTACAGGGGCATACTACTAAATATCAGGGCATTCATATTCAGATTTAGCGTGTATTCCGGCAATACACCCTGCACCCACACCCTACACCCTGAATCCTAAACCCTGAACGCTAAACCCTAAACCTACAGCCTAAGCTAGGGGGAGGATTAAGGTCAGTGATTTTGCAGGCGAAGATCTTCGAGCTGCATCGCTTAGACGCCGACGCCTCCCGTGACGTGGAGGCAAGCTTTGGGCTGTTTAGGCTGCTTAGGCTTTGCCGTGAATGCTTACGGGTCTAGTGTCGAGGGTCTTGGGTCTAGGGGTCTATTGCCGCTAAGCCTTCGACCCGCCCTAACCCTAAACCCAGAAACCGCGCAGGAGTTCGACTGGCATGTCCTATACAGTCAAGCAGAGGGCACTCTCTGTGCCCGCATGGTGGAGCGGGACTGCCGTCCGAATTCGGGTTGAGGGTTTAGGGTTTATTAGGGTATTTATTTAGCCTTCAAAGCCCAGCTGAACGGATGGGGATGTGGGAAGCCCTTGGAAGCGTCTGGAAATTGTGGTGCCTAGCCCTTGACCCTAAGCCAGAAAGCCAAGTTTCATCAGGCGTTGGACAATGAATCATTGGGACTTGGATATCTTACAAGGCTCAAAGCCTTTGGCTCAGGATTTCGGATTCAGGGTTTAGGGTCTAGGGTTCGACGAAGTCAGCACCATCCTAAAGGCGTGCACCGCCAAATATCCCAAACCCTTAAACTCATTAACCCCTAAACTAAACCCCAAACCCTAAACCCTGAACCCAGCAAAGAATGAAGGACGGAGACGAACTGCAGAAGGCTCTGCACATCTTCTCAGAGGTGGCCGATAGCGGGCGTTGAGTTCCGGAAGTCTGATGGAAACTTAGGGCTTTAAAACTTAGGGTTTAGGGTTTTGGGGTTTAGGGTTTTGAGGTTTTGGGTTTAGGGGTTTTGAAGGGTTTGCCTTGTCGGGACATACAGTCGACGACGAGCCATTTCAGATGGATAGTCTTGTCTGTCTCTTTATCTCTTGCTCTACCTAGCTAGCTGGCTATCTTTCTACCTACTTTCCGTATTTATCTATCTATCTATCTGCCTGTCTGTCTGTCTGTCTGTCTGTCTGTCTGTCTGTCTGTCTATTTACTTGTCGATCTACCTAGCTGCCTAGCTAGCTAGACCTATCTGTCTCTGAGTATATTACATGCATACACGCAGTTTTCCATTAGGGACGCAAACATACATTGAGATGTACGCGTGTGCATATTCGCGTGTAGGCACATGCTCACCTCCACATCTGTACAAAGTAGTTAGCCAGTCTATCTCTTTATCTGTCTATCTATCTATCCATCTCTCTATCTATCTGTCTGTCTGTCTATCTATCTATGTATCTATCTATGTATCTATCTATCTATCCATCTATCTATTTATCTGTTTATCGACACATTTGACATGTTCCCCGCATATCAGACAAACGTTAGTGCACCGTGTCATATCAGTTGCGTACGCAAGACAATCGGTAAACCGTGGCCCCTGCAGATGCTGTCGGAGAGTGCCATCGTAATGGTCAACGATGGCCTCGTGCAGGACAGCCTGCATATCCTGAACTGCATAGCTGTATGCACAGAGGGCCGGACGAAGTTTCATGAAGCATGTGTGGTCTTGAGGAAGTAGATCGTCGAATTCTCCTGGACTGCCGGATTAATGCAGTCTTGCTCGTGCAGCGCTCAGAAACACATCTTTGAGTCGTTTTGTGTACTCTTACGGGTGTTGATTTCTCAGTGGAAGCACAAACGACCAAGAAAATCATCAGGGGCAGCTCCGGCCACCACCAATCACAGCAACAGCAAGGCAAGGACTAGAGACAACAACAGCAGTAAGGATAAGATTAGAATCACGGATCGTAGCAACAACAAGGGCAGCAGCGCCATCAAGCGCTGCAGCAGCCGCAACAGGCGGAGCAACAGCAAAGCAGCATCACAGCACCAACAACACTAGTACTATGACCGGCGGCAGCAGCAGCAGCAGCAGCAGTGGCAGGAGCAGCGACAACCTCAATCACACTACCAATTGCAATGTCTTCAAGATGCAGCAAGGATGACCGCCACACCAAGAAGAAGAACAAGAAGAAGATGAATATGATGAAGATGAAAAAATGTCAAGCCACATAGCAAGGACAATAGTAACAATAATAACAATCATAGTTACAAGAGTACACGAGGAGCTTAAAGGACCAGAGTCATCTGAGGGAAAGCGAGGCCTCCATGACGGCAACATCCATCGCATTGAACTCACGGATTGCCAACGCAGTCAACAAGATGTGGACAATGTGCTGTCGACCTTAGATGTGCCTTTCGAGGAAAAGGGAGCTGGACTACACTTTACGGTTCCACAAAAGCTTTCGATGTATCCCCACTTGCAGCCCACAAGTGCTTGCGTACTCTTGGTTACTGTGTGGGCGAGTTCGTGTCTCGGACCTTCGCAAATGGTTCGAGATGCTGCCGTACAAGATGGTGAAGCGTCATCAATCCAGGCAGCTCGAGGCATCCCCAAAAGGCAAAGCAATTCATCTTGGAGCTTGGGTTCATGGACGACAAGTGGGAATCATGAGCACGGCCAACAATTTCCCAATGTTGTCAAGCTGCTTTGTCGATTGCTGCATACACTTCATGGATCAGGATTCCTATTATTGTTCATAACAATAACCAGAAACAGAATCATGATGGTAATTATGATGACATACAAGAATATGTATACAATTACATAGCAAGAATGCAGCACTAAGGATTAGGAACATTACTGTCAATAACAAAACTTGATCATAATACACATTCATCCCTTATGATAATACCAAGAGTAAGAGGAACAACAAACATAATCATACTGACAAAATGAATAGTAAGAAGAACAATAATGCTGATCAAAATAATACAAATAATAGTAATAGTGACAATAACGACAGCGAATAGTAATGCGAACAATAGCAGTAGCAAGTAGTATCAGCAGTAATGCCAACAATAGTAATAATAGTTGCAAAGGTAGGCATAATGCAACGGTAATGGTAACACTATTGGTTTCTGCAAGGTGATAGTAATAGTAATAGCACTAGCAATAGCGATAGCAATGTTCAGAGCAAGAGTACATGTAATCTTTAGAAGTAGTAGTAGTAGTAGTAGTAGTAGTAGTAGTAGTAGTAGTAGTCGTAGTAGTAGTCGTAGTAGTAGTAGTAGTAGTAGTAGTAGTAGTCGTAGTAGTCGTAGTGGTAGTAGTAGTAGTAGTAGTAGTAGTAGTAGTAGTAGTAGGTGGTGTTGTTGTTGTAGTCGTAGTTGTAGTGGTAGTGGTACTGGTAGTGGTAGTAGTAGTACTAGTAGAAGCA